TCTAGAGTATTAAATAATAAATATACTAACCGAGAAACAGGGACACATTCGCTGCTGGCCGTCCAGACGGGGCGCTGCAGCTGATTTCCAATTTTTCGCCCCTCCTGAATCGGGTCCCGCCAAGACTTCCGCGATTCGTACGAAGATCGGGTTTGTTGGGCGGTCCTGAGAAATATTAAAGTGAGAATTTCTTTGGATCGCCGCGCCATTGTACATATCGATCAGATCAGATTGAATTAGAAGACAACACAGACGGCATTTTCTATATTTCATTATATTTTATCATTTTGTTATTCGAAGGAATCTGAGACGGTAACTTAATTTTAACTTTTTTTCAGCATGATGTTTCTCTGCGCTAAAATAACAACAAATTCTCCTAAGATATTCATGAATCACGCCATTTATCTTTATCGAGTTCATCTTAAACGGTAATTTTACTCCGGGCGCTTATTTCAGTCTCCGTAAGCAATTTCCTTAAGGAAGATTAATTACTTTTCGAATACAGCTATAGAGCGACTGGAACAAGCGTTAGCATTTTTTTTTACCTCTTGCTCTAATTAATGTTTCTCTTTTCATCGTAACTTCTTTGTCAAAAATATTCTACCTCCTATTTATTTATTATTTCGTATATAATTCCGTTTACATTACACTTGTTTTTAATTGTTATGAGTTTATATGTAATATATAAAAGCATTTATGCGATCGGAAACTGAAATGTCATTAAGTGAAAATGAAATTAAAGTAAAAATTACACAACATATCACAAAATTTATAGATTAAATATTAAAAATGATTACACGTTGCTGTTCTTGTAATTTGAAGAAAAAAAACATAAGAACAACAATTTTCTTAAATAATAGATATTTTAATATATAGAAAAAACACAAATATATTATCTCTGTAAATGATGTTTATAGTTTCTTAAAGCGCACTTAGTTTCGGAACGTAATAAATATCTTCTTAGTAAAAATATGATTTTAAAGTACATTTTCTCTACAATTTTGATATGGTCAGGTCTATATCTGACGATTTCGTCCAGCTAGAATCTCGTCGAATTAAGAAAGAAAGTGAACTTACTCGCAACAATGATCTTGAGAGAAGCAGTCGATTCTTGCCGGGCTTTGGTGACCGTCAAAGAGCATTTGAAGATGCCATCGTGAATTTCCTTCACCTTAGCGATACGGACGCCGCACTGGCCATTATTTAGTCCATTGCCGTAATACTCGATGCCGTCTTCCGACGGTTCGTTCGCATTTAACACAATGCTACCCTCGCCGGGAATTTCTACGCGACAAACGCGAAGTGGTTGTGGGGCGCTGCAGAGAATCTGCAAACTCTCGCCTACTCGCACGGCCGTCTCTTTTTTCGGATCGATGTCTATGAATGTACTCGATTTTGCTGAAAACAGAAAAATATTTGAGTTTAATAATGGGCTTGATAAATCACGAATCAATTACGTGAGTCTATATTCAAAGTTGCATCAAAATATAAATATATAATACAAGAATCTTTAAAAATTATTTTATTTAGATTCATAACTGTAATATGTTTATATAATTATTTTTAACGTAAATCTAAAAAAATTGTGATTATCGAGTTTCCCTTATTACAGAATAATAAAAATTATTTTTATTAAATGTACTAAAAATATTAAGCTTTAAATTAAACTTTTTTACGCTTTACTTAAAATTAAACTTAGTCGAAGAAAACTACATAATTAATTTTGAAATTGCTCAATATTATTCAATGAGTTTTGATATTTATGTTCAATATTACTACACGCGTGTATATTCCTGCATTTAATATCAATATATTATTGTAAAATATTTAATTAGAATCGAATTTCCTGCACAATAATCGTAGGTTATATAAGTTCCTAGAAAAAATCGAAATAATAAAAAGAAAGAGAAGAGAAAATATTTTAAGCAGCAAGTTTTAAAGAACACGCGTTTGCCAGCGTCTCCATAAAAAATCGAGAAGGTGATTCGCGTGAGCGAAGATGCCGCGTCTACGAAGATTTACGGAGATAAAAAGAAAAGTTGATTAAATCCCCACCTGCAATACCTCTATCGCCCTTGTGTATCTTTCTTATACTAACGCGCTCTGCATCGGAAAGGGATGTAGCCTTTTTCCTTTCCCTATCCACTCTTTCGTCACTGTAAACTCACCCGACAGGCTGGTATATTTAATCCTTATATTGCACGATGACTTCGATATAATTATATGCTTCTTGTTTTGTTCATTGATGTATTATAAAATAAAATGAAAAAGAATTTTTCCAGGAGGGTTTAATTTGTATTCAAATAATGTCCAATAATACATATAAAATAAATTATATTAAATTTAAAAAACGGAGAGAGAAAAAAGTGTATGATACAAATACATAAAACACAATTGAATATATTCTAATAATAATAATAATTCATACGACTTTATGCATGTGTACTTTTTAATTTTTAAAAATTTATAATATTAAAAATTAAGAAGTATATATGCATAAAGTCGTATGAATTGTATATGTATGAATGTACATATGCATATAAGAACAGAATGCATGTAAAGCATTAATGCAACGATTAGAAATTTTCATATTCAAATTTTTCTTATTTATTTTTAATTCGAGTAAAACGCATTATCATTGGCAAATTAAACAATACCTTATTTTAAATAAAAGATATGCATTCCCTATCATTACATGCCGATCCGGATATTAATTGTCGCGCGTGAAAGTTTTTGTAAATAGTTTTCAATTAAGTTTTTATATCAATAAATGTATTTTCTACGACTTCGTAAGAGTGTTTATTCATAGTCGGTACTCAGTCGGATCTTATTTCAAGACCATCTTAAGTAATGTCTTAAGATGCTAATACGGTCATTTCATTGGCTGGATGGAGTCTTAAGACTGCCTTTGCCCAGACTTAAGACGATCTTAAATATACAATCTGACTATGAATACTGGCTAATGTAACGGAAACGATAAATAAGTTTTACGCAACATTCAGCACGCTCTAATTATGCGAGATTAAATATTGATACTATTAGTATGCGCATATTTGTCGCAGTATTGTTGAAGTTTTATGTGACATAATATTGTAGTCTAAGCTGTATAGCATGATCTTAGTATTCATACCATATACTTTACATAATATGCAAGATAACTGTTTCAGATAACTCCCTGTACTTTACAAAAAGAGGGCAAACGATATTCTGTAATCATACGAAAAGATTATATTTAAATTTATAATCGTTTTGACCAGTTTGACGTTAACTCGGCAGACAATAGGCAAATAAAAAACCAAGTCATTTTTCTCTGCGCATCGAAAATCTCTCTCTTTCATATCTCTTGATATATTTTCGCATAGAAAATATTATACCTATTTTTATCATTTTCCCAAGTAAATTAAATTCCCGCTATGTAGATTTATTTCATTTTATACACTTCACCGTTCGAATGGAAGAAAAACAAATTTTTAATAACTATAATACTTCTGTCTGCTACACACGACAGAGCACAATCGCCATTCAAATGTCACGATCATTATCGCTGCCACTTGAGCCTGATGATGCGCGTTATTGAGATAATGTGCATTTTTATTTTATACTTAAGTATATCTCATAAATTCGCACGTATATAAGAACTCGCCCCGACAAAAAGTCCGTGCTCTCCCGCCCTTAAAGAGCTCTCGTCATAAGGGTTAAATATAGACGTTTGCTTTCAAGTTTCCTGCCGGAGAGGCGAGGCGTCGCGGCCGCGATGGCAAAGCGACGCAACGCGCGCTGGTCGCATCGATCTCCGCGCGCGCCAGTTTGGGACGTGGCATGTCATTGGCGAAACGACGAGGCGACCGACCGATCCCATGCACGATGCTATTATGATAATGCACTTCAAGAAATATGATAAACTGGGCGTGGCGCGGGCAACGACTATCATATTTCAACCCGTCGACCAGGCTGGCTGGTCGATCGCCGGAGCAGCTTCGAGAGACAAGTAACTCGAAATCTAGCGATTTTGACAGATTCGTGTCAAATGCGATCGGATGAACGAATTGCGGAAGCTATGAGATGAAGCAAGTCCAACTGCAGCTTCTAGATGCAACTGTTTGAAGATAAGCGGAGTAACAGTGATTATAATTTTATACAAATAATCCGCATCTGTTTTCCGATAAAAATCAAACGGGAATATATTGTCTATTTTATATATACAAAATATCAGATTGATTAAATTTATTTTGTGTAAACTTTTGAACTTCTAGAGAAAGCGTTCTGTTATTCAAGTAATGAAACTGTTGAACCGATTCCTCCTGATTTCTCAGGTGTTTATTATCGTTATGCGACACAAATGCGAATTTTTTTATTCGTATACAGAGATATATTTTTCCGCAGGTGCAGTCAGATGCATTTTCGGTGTACGCGCGCCGATATTTCGATTCATATGGTCATGGATTCAATGGGTTCGTTAGAATTGTTGCACGAGTTTATAGCCACGATATGAACTTTAAATGTGCTAAAAGCACTTTCAAAAAAGCGGTGTTACTTGGCATTGGCATTGTTTTTACTAGGTTTTTTTTTTGGATTCCGATATACAGGCACTGCGCTTTCATTTCCATTATCCGCGAAATACTTATTTATTGTGCGATATAATTTAAATTTTATCGTGCGCATATATTGACTATATTGTATAATTTAATACGATTTATTACATTTGATTAATTTTATAAAATTCTGTTTTATTTTATTAACTGTAAATAACACATTTTCTATCTAATTTTAATACAAAATTTACAACCTTGGAATTAAAATCTTTCACGTGTAAAAAATATAAATGCACGATCGAATAATATTTGATATTATTTACTCATTTTTCTCTTACGGTTTGTGGTGGTGATATTTTCTCTCGATAAAAAACTAATTATTGAATAATTCCGATAATTATTTTTTTATCAAGAGGAAATATTATTAAACTCAATTAGTTGCTAATTCACTGACGTACCTATCCCATTCGTTATACTTTTTTGTTCTCCCTGACCCGCTGAAATTCGCGTTGATGCTGAAATTACATGAAAATTCCTACATGCTTTCTGCGCCACGGTTCCGTGCGATTGCAAATGTGGCGCGCCATGTCGACCTGCCAGGCGATCGCAAGACCATAAATCCCATTTGATTTTCCGCTCATCAATTTGTTACATAGCCGACGTCACGATCTAATTTGCCCGTATACCCGGATTTGCTCGGAGAATACGACCGCTCGCCACCGCCACACAGTCCCCCTGTGCATCGAGGAACACGCATCCCCCCCGAAAGCCGCAGCAACAGATGCGGTGATTTGTGGACGTCGGCGTCGCCCTACGCATCGGTGCGCACTATGAAATTGATGTGCGGACGGGTGTTAAAAGCACCGGTTTTATCTCGGCTTCTCTCTCTTCTCGCGATTCCGATATAACTAGAATTCACGTATAGACGCTATATAAATTTCTAGTTATAATATAATCACAGTTATACTTAAAAATACCGATCCACCCCGTGCGCCAACGTTGTTTTTATATTTACGATCCGTTCGGTGAATTCGATATTTGTTCGAAGAAGATACGCGCCGGGGGTTCTCGGCTTGCCTACAAGCAGCTTTCCGTTCCTCTGTGTACGTACATTCCTCATACGTGCCACATCGCAATGGTATGATACAACACGTAACGGCGCGTGTATCCGTTTCGCGCACATTCCGCACCTCGGTATTTTATGTCCGCTCGCCGTTATTGACTCTCCCGCTCTCTTCCGCCGTCTTCTCTCTCTCTCTCTCTCTCTTTCTCTCTTGCACCGTGCAGTGATAACGCGGCGAAGATAATCTTGACTACCCGGCATGCAACCTGCCAGCGCAATTTCGCAGCGATTTCCAATTTTCTTGACTCGCTTGCATCCCTCCTTCCCCGCCACCCCCGCGCGTCCTCTTCCATTCGCGGAAGGGAAGTGCGAAAGAGATGTGGGCTCGGAACAGAAGAAGGGTAGTGAGAAGGAAGGGAATCGCCGGAAAAGAAGAGAACGCGCGTGCTAAACTACGTGTACTGTGCCAACGAATGAGTCTACGGACTCGTCTTTATTGTTCGTTTGACTCTATGTGTTTATGTTGACGCACAACGTTCGCGTTTGGATAAATTCAGTATTCGTTATACGTAGTAAATGAAAATAATTAATTAGAGAAACAATGCCATGATCTGGCCTGGATTTTGATAGTTTAATAATAATATTGCGTGAATTTTGTATACTTTTTTCAAACTCAATGATTTAATAACTCAATGATTATCGATTTTAGTACGTGGATTTACTGCTCCAATAAAGAGCTCTTACATTCTTGGTTTTAATATTGGTTACTAATATTGTCATTGCGTCTTCGCTTCAGTCTACAT